ATTTTTGTTTAAGTACAAGAGTGCCGAGTTTAAGGCATGCTAGTTAGATATACATGTTAAAGCAGAGGGTGTTGCATTTTTTAGAATACCTTACCAGGGAGGACTGTCACATGTCTAGTAGGAATTAACATACTCACAAGAGCTAGACCTAGCTATAGTGTAGATATATAGAGAGGTTACTTGAGCTGCACTTAACATAATGCATTTAAAGACGACTGAACATGCTAATTGTTGTACAGGCTAGGTTGCTGAGACATTCTTATAAACTGAGTGAGTTAAGGCATACAGAAAAATACCGCTGATTAAAATGAGCTAATGAGCATGTAGAAGAGTCTGTTGCTTAGAGAGTAGTCAGGTGAGGTATTCCTCATATATCATGCTTCGGCATCTTGATGTCAGACAGTTCCCCTTCTTGGGCGCTTCACCCAATGCCTTGACTAGGCACAGCTCGCGGGTTGCTGTTTGATCCTGCGTTCCGGATCTCGTAGTAGCCCTTGTGTGGGTTATCCTTTCATTTTCGGCTCCTGTCGGAGCTCGGGAGCCATGGAGCAATGCAGTGTTCATGGGTGGCGGCACGTTGGGAGCGAGGTAGGTTCTCCCTCCAGCCCCAGGCCGGTTAAAAGGCCTAGATCTTCGGTCCACAGACCCGGTAACCCTTATGGGCCGAATCCCTCCTGGAATAGGAGTAGTAGAGGGTTCCGGTGGTTTGCCGCCGTCCTTGGCGGTGGGTAACATGCTTTCGGGTCATGCCCGTGGTGGCCCTCGGCCCAGGTAGGCCTGTAGTGGGAGATTTGGGCAGTTGTGCATTAGCTAGGCCTGCAGGAGTCTTCCCCGCTCTCTGGCTCTCACCCCCCCTAGCAACCCCCCATGATTGGGGTGCTGACTGTGCTTGGCGGTGTTCTAGGGCATCCCAGAACCACTTGAAATGCTCGTCGAGCCTTTGTAGGAGGTGGTCTATGGGGCTTTGAGGGCTTGTTGCAGTGTCTCTGCGCACTTTCTCTTGAGAGTACGCTGTTTCCGCTTTTTTGTAGCAGGTTACTGTAGCTGGGTTCTCGCTTATAATTCTTGGGATGTCCCCCACCAGCAGTGGGGGGGAGTTAAAGTGTTCCAGGGAGAGCTTGAGCTGTGAGGACTGCCGCGGCAAAGGGAT